CAATAAAAATAAAAAACAGAAATAAAAATACGTTATATCAATACCAAATTCAATATTATTAGTTTCGTAAAAATAAAAAATATCGAACCTTAACATATTATTTCTATTATTCATAAATTATGACAACAAACTCTACTGATATGCAATACCAAAATATAAAATTAAAAAAAATTAAACTTTTAAATCTCTTAGACCACAACTAAATATTTTAAAATTAAACTAAAAAATTAACTAAATAAATAACCAATTGACCATCCCTTTCAACATTCCAAAGAAGTAGATTCCAAAACAATTGGCATAAAACTATGATTAGCTCCACAAATCTCAGAACATTGACCATAAAAAATACCAGAACAAGAAAAATTACAATTAACCTTAGTTAACAAACCATTAAGAGCGTCTATCTTAATAAAACACTTAGGAATAGCAAAAGAATGAATCACGTCACTAGAAGTACAATAAATACCCAAATTAGTTCCCACAGGCAAAACACAACGATTATCAACATCAAACAAACGAAAATCACCAACATCCAAATCATCAATAGACTTTATAAAAGAATCAAAACACAATTTACCACTATCACCATACTCATAACTTCAATATCATTGATGACCAATAACCTTTAAAGTCAACTCAGACTGACGAAACATACGACCTTGATATTGAATCAATCAAAAACCAGGACCAGCTATAACAACTAAAAAATTAACAACCAATACTTGTAACATTAACTCAATTATACGTCTATCATTACGCTTAGAATTAAATTTAAAAGAACTTCCATGAAAATAAACTCCAACTATAACTAAACATATAAAAAAAAAACCAAAAAAATAACATGAGAATAATAATTATGGATAAAATAACAACAAAAAACATAAGGACTACCAGGAACAGGAAACACATAATTTTGCAAATAAATCATTAGCTCTAAAACCGTTTATTTGGTAAAATAAAAATAACTAAAATTAATACTAAAAAAGACCAAAAAAAAATTAATAAAAAACCTAT